GGGGGGGGGTCTTTAGTACCGTTTGGAGCCACCAACCCGTACTAAAGGCCACGACCTCTTTAGTACCGGTTCGTGGCACGAACCGGTACTAAAGGTTCGCCACGAACCGGTTCTAATGAGTGTCGCCCGCCTAGCTGTTGCAACCCGGGACTAATGAGCTTCACATTAGGCCCTTTTTCTACTAGTGGAGGCGCGCCGTGGTCTGGGGGATTTTTTTTTTGAAATAAAGCAAAAACAGCCCGCCTACTGGGCCGACACGGCCTGCATACGACTAGCGACCCAACCTCTAGTTGGGCCAGGATGCAGGCCCATATGGCCCAGTAGGCCCCACAGGGCAGAAGACTTGCAATAGGCCTACAAAGGCCTGCTTAGAGAGGAGCTCGACACAGTAGCCGCGGCGGGGCTTATAAACCGGTGCAAGCTCCTCTCAACTAGCAAAGGGACTAAACATTGTGCATTATGGGTGGCAGCGCACCACCTTTAATACTGGTTGGTGGCTCCAACCGGTACTAAGGGGGGGGGGGTCTTTAGTACCAGTTGGAGCCACCAACCCGTACTAAAGGCCATGACCCCTTTAGTACCGGTTGGAGCCACCAACCGGTACTATAGGTCACAAATAAACCGGGACTAATGCATAACCATTCGAACCGGGACTAATGGTATCATTAGTGCCGGTTCATTTACAAACCGGGACTAATGTGTCTCACATAAAGTAGTTTTTCTACTAGTGCCATCTCGACGACGAATGTTGAGAGCATGGTGAAGGGGACAAATCGCTACACAGGATGGAGATAGAGGACGGGGGTGGGGTTTGACTTTAACTATTGATTTCTCTGCTGCGCGTTCTAGTGGCCACCGTTCCCTTTTACCGAAAAAGGCTTTCGCCCCGCTTTATAAATAAAGCAAACCACCACAGCCAAATGGTACAACATAAGTTCACCCACACACACGCAGTCATACAAACATAGAATACAAATAGGTTCTGCTGAGGGCACAACTCAACAAGCCCTGAAAAGGAAAAAAACGAAGGCAGGTCAACCGCAGCAGCATGGAAGGAGCTAATCCGGCTCGGGTGATGGAGGAGGGAGCGGTGGCGCCAAGCGAAGAGCCATCGAGCGAAGGTCAGAGATGATGATGGTGATGGCTTCTCGGTCATGGTGATGGCTAAGCGGCCGCCAGAGAGTCCAGAGCATCCACCGTTCCCTTTTACGTGCGCCTGTGTTGAGATCCAACAGCCACGGAAAAAAAATGTACGGCGAGGGAGGAGACCAATTTGGGATTCGGCGGGTGGACTGGCGGCTAGCACTGCCCACAGAAATATAGCTGCCTTTGTCTTAACTCAAATGTTCGATAGAAATCCCTGATGATTAACAACTAAAAGAACAAACTAGCCAGTGCAGATTTACACTCAGCCAACATTGATCATGATTTCAGTTTTGGACTTGTGACATCATCATAGCATGGGCATCGACTGCAGGATGGAGGGCCTATCTGTACACTATGTCCTCGCTCGTATGGGTACAAGCACACCTAACAAGATATACAGTTCAAATTCTATGGTGAGCCTGAATTGGCGGCATGTTTGTTTAGAAATGGAAATAAGAGTTGAGGGGTGATGATATGAAAAATCCATTGACTGGTTGGAGAGAATAGGAGTTTAATTGGGATGGGGAATAAGAGTTTAGGGAGCCAATCTCCACCGATATATCTCTTTCCACAAGATCATGTTAATTCGTGTGCATGACTCCTAAACTAATTCCCATTATATATCAAACAGAGAAACGAGAGTAAAAATATATTTCCCACCCCTAACCCCTCCCAAAAACTTTCTGGTGTAAACTCCCATTCCCCAAGGTTACCAAATAGTGTGCGTCACATCACATGTGTCGCATTCACCCTGCACCCTAGTGGAATCATCATGAAATTGCTGTTTCCCAGGTGACTTGCAGGTTCCCCAGACGGCTTGCAGGTTTCTAGCGGCAAAAAAATGTACAAGAACTATTTTGGTCCCATTCAGGCGCAAAGTACCGGAAATACCCTCGCTGCTTGGCTTGGCGTCCAGCCTCCGCCCTTATCCTCTTGCTTCATTTTTGTCCTCGCCGATCACCGCATTACCCTCGAACCACGCCATCGCCCTCTCAGCACAACACGTACGCCTCCTCTCACCTGCTTGAAGATATACATCGATCCCTGTGAACTTGCTCGACTGGTTCTGCTTCTGCTTCTGCTTGCTGCTGGTGCTGCCGCGGTGGACGCGATGGAAGCTGTGCACGGCGTCGAGTCCCTCGCCGGCGGAGACGGCTGGCATCATGTTTCCCGTACCCTCGGGACGGCGCTGCTGATATCGGTGGGGTACATCGACCTCGGCAAGTGGGTGGCGGCGATCGACGCCGGGGCTCGCTTCGGGTACGACCTCGTGCTGCTGGTGCTCTTCTTCAACTTCTCGGCGGTCCTCAACCAGTATCTCGCCACTTGCATCGGCATGGTCACCGGCAAGAATCTTGCAGAGGTACATACCAAATTCTTCTTTCTTTAATTCCTGCTACTCTTGTTGCCCATGCATCCTCCATCTTGGAGTAATCAATATCCTCTAGGTCACTGTTTACGAGAAGGAATCTTCTCATCTCAAATAATACTCTCTTTATTTTTATTTAGTCCGTGTACTAGCTTTGGTCAAATACCATTAGATTTATTATTAAATGTATTTTCACATCATATGGATTTTTT